CCATTCGCCCATTTTCCAGTGAGTCAGTCAGCCAGTTGCTAGATTTAATGTATTCATTATATAGACTAGTCAGGGATGGTGCAATCAATGATCAAACCTGACGTTTAAAATCAAAATGACCATGAACTAAGATTGCACATAGCCCGATGAGACTTTTGTTCTCCTAAAATTTGATAATATCGATCGCTACTCGGAGATAGCTGCTATTAAGACTATTATTCTTCCACGCGTGTTAGCTTAATTACTTACTATGATTCCGGCATATTCCTCATTTTCAACGTATCGATCGTGTAACCAAACAAACTCTTCGTGTTCCCTGACCACGGAAAATTCACCCTCCTTGAAAACAGGCAGCGTGGTCTGGAAAGCAACAGAATTAATTGCCGTTAAACAGCGAGCAAAGACGATTAATTTCTCACTAAATGAAAGCTCAGTTTTGTTACCTTCGTATGAACCGTAAACTTGACACGCTCTCTTTCACTTAATGCATCGGAAATATCTACCACCAAGGATGTGTCTGTGTGCAAATCCACCGACTGAGTCCGTGTCTACAAAGAAATCGAAGTAATAACTCTGCGAAATCGAGAGAGAGAACAAATTGCTATCTTCGATTCCCAAAACTGCCACATTTAGGTACTGGATCAAAGATGAACAAAAGGCAACTCACTTTTTCATCTTCCAGCATGTCTGCGCTATCCGACGCGTCCTGTAGAGAATATCAAATAAAGATCAAAGTAATTTATTATGTAGTGGTGAAAAATTCCTCTACTGCACAGCTGTTTTCCCACAATCATATGTCTTACCATCATGGTTGGTGCCGAACCGAGCCAATTACTTCTTTTGTCACGTGACTAGCGGAACCGTGACAAAAAAAAATCTCCTTCTACACCCCACTCCACCCCACTAAGGTCACAGCTATAAAACAAGCGAGACCTTGTTACTGTTTATATCGCTAGGAAAAACCTTGATTTGAAAAACAAAAACAATGGGAATCATTGATCTTTTTCTACAGCCCTAATTAAGTAATTTTACGCTGCTGCAGTACAAACTGTATTAAAGAACTCTTTTAAGGATTTTTTAAAAAAAGCAAGGACAGCAAAACAAAGTGAAACTCCAAAATTTAAAAGACTCAAAATCCTCAGTTTTCATTTAGAATATATGAATCTACTAATATTTTTATGGTAATAGCCTTATCTCAAACTTGGACCACCAAGAGCACAAATATCTCCTCACTACCCTAGTGAGTACTTCTAGTCAATAATATCCCATTAGGCACTGGGTGCTTTACTTGGTAACAAGAGAAACATGGCGGACGGTACTCCGACTGAAGGTTCTCCGTCTAATTAACTTCTCTTTTGCTACCAACGACTCGCTAATGTACTGAAATATTTGTTTCTACATTTTTAGTAGCTCCACAAGAACAAGTTTCGTTGGTTCCTCCTGAAGAAAACAATCACAGCCAACCTGAGGTGAGGTGGCAAGCGTCAAATAATTTGATGACATGCATAGACATAATTTTGACTAATCCGTGTTGACGCTATCACTCATTGGATTTTCGTAATTTCTGTTGCAAAGCAAATAGTTGTAATTATTTTCACGACTTATACCGCCCCTTCCACAAAAAAGAGAATTCATCTTCATTTCATTCAAGACATTAGGGGTGATCAGCATAAAAAATGCTAACACTGTTATCGCATTGATTCTAGTTTTCTTGACTCTTTGTGAGCGGAAACTAAGCAACAAACGTTGATCAGTTATGTTGGAAATTTTATCACAATAAAATTTAATTTTGATCCAAGACCCACAAAAAAAATTTCACATCCCTAATTCCCACCCTCTACTGTTGGCTATTACTAAATGTAATAGAATGAAATAGAAATGAATAGAATGACTTGACCCTTATACCTCTGAAAGTGACAAGCCTCTAATTTCACCTGACAATATCACACCTGAATCACATGCAATAGTCGTGAGAATAAAGGAAATGATCCCCATCTGAAGTAACTGTTGATTGTCTAATAAATTCTCCTTGTCAACTCTTTAGGAAAGGTGTAGAGAACAGTATAGAGAATATGCATACTGATGTTAGGGTTTAAAAGGTTACATTTTGTTCTGATACCTTAAGATGAGCACACTTTTCCTTTATTTCAACTTAGATTTTTGCTCCTTCCACCCCTGTGCAAAATTCTGTTAATGGTGACATCATCTATGTTCCTGTCCTCCAATAGATTATCATTGAGAATCAATCAAATAAGTGTTTACATAGCTTTATTCAAGTATACACTTTAATTGGCTAATACGCTCTGCCCACTTGCTTGTGAGTTGCCTGCTGCCTCAGTTTGTTTTGCTTATTTTCCTACACAAAGTGAAAGATGACTGAAAGTTTCAGTTTTATAAAAGAAGTGGTTTATGCGCAGTGTGAAACCATGAAATTATGGTACACTTGGGAGGTTTGCTAAGCACTTAGGAAGCTAGAGTTGTAATCAACTATCACCTCATGCAGCTCTTGTGTTTCTTATGTGCTTAGCATCCTCCCATGTGCATCCATAACCTGCTGGTTGTATGCTAATTTTTTTTTTAAGTATGATTCAGCTGATGATGTAATAGGAAATTGATGACAAGTTTTCTGTTCTAATTAGGTTCCCCAGGAAACTTCTCCCCATGCTGAAATTGGTGTGACAGAAAATGTTCAGGTAAACTGTAGTGGGAATGGCTCATCTATCTTAGTGGTACAAACCAGAGAAAATTATTAGAACTGGTTCTTTGTAGAACTTAGTCCTCTGTAACTTTCCTCTATTGTCTTATATTCTCTGTTGGAGACACACTGCCGCAGTCACTGGTTAGTAAGTAAGGCCGGGGCTCGACACTAACTTTTCAACTTACTAGCCAAGTGGCTGGTGACATCTTAGATGCTACAACAATGTCAATTTGTTTAATAGCCAAACTGGCTGGTGGAAACCGAAAACCACTGGCCAAAACTGAATTTCTACTAACCTGTGGCTAGTGTGCTACCGTTAATGCCGAGCCCTGTAAAGCTCCTGATCTTTAAGCCCTGGTCAGTTCATTTTGTTTTGTTTTTGGGAATGATTGTCATTTAGCTCGCATAGTGCTTTTCTTCGCACATGATTTGGCGGTATCCAACAGTCACGAAAACCTGTCAAAATACTACCAGGGGGAGTGGAGAAGGGGGTGTAAAGGTGTGTGCAATGGGCTCGCATCTTATTTAGAAGTAACTATACTCCTAGAGGCTTCATGCCACAAAACTAGGGATCAGCTTCAGCAAGATATGTCCCCACAAACATCTAAAATGCAACCATTGATTGCCAAATTTATGCTTTATGCCCCCTTTTATCATCCACCCACTCCCTCCCTGTCTTTTCTCTCCCTCGTGTGGCATTTGTGGATTGGAATTGAACATCATTATTGGCAGAGCTGTCTATACCAATTGGCAAATCGTTTTTGTTTCCTCCACAGAAAATGGTGGAGAAAGAGAAGGAGGCTACTGAAAAACCAACAAAACCAAAAGTAGAACTACAGTCATTACCAACCAGAGCATACTTAGACCAGACAGTTGTGCCTATCCTTCTTCAAGGTCTCTCCACCCTGTCCAAGGAAAGGTAAGGATTTTCTTTCATCAGAATGCTTTGTGTTTATTTTTTAATATGCTTTTATACGCTTCTACTTCCTGAGTTTTCCAACCTCTTTGGAAGGCCTTGCTTGAAAGAAAACAAATTTACATTTTGGATTTTACATTTGGATAATGGCTTTTACATTCTGTATGGAGTGACAAAATTCAATTTAAGCCCCTTTCACACTGTCTGT